GGTTACTACATCTACTATATACTATCTAGAGTCAACTCGTCGGCCACAGAAAAGAAATGAGACTTGAAACAGTAGACCCTCCTTGATACTTTACACGTTCGAGAGACAAAAGGTCGAACCTTCCCAAAAAAACGGTAGTACCACACAAGACAGATAGCAGCGAAGACTAAGACCATAGGTAGATGAAGGTAGGCGCCACAACCAAGGCCCTGAGACCAGACGCGATCCTGAAATCCTCGGGCTCCGCACCACAGAAATCGAAAAGAAGACAAGGGCAAAAAGTCCTAGGCCAATCTCCACAGCGCCAGAAACTAGGCCCTGAGACCAAACACGAACCCGAAAGCCTCGAGCTCTGTACCACCGAAATAGAAAAAGAAAACAGGGGCAAAAAGTCCCAGGCCAACTCCCACAGCCCACCTGCCAAAGGCCACGAACCTCTCATCAACAGATAGTCAGAGAAAGAAAGGAGCATGGGAACCCAAGCCAATTCCCACGGTCCCCACCCCCGGTACCCATGCTCAAACCCAGACATAAACCCGGTATCCCTCCCTCAGTTCATCAACCCCGATACCCATTTTCAAACCAAGACCCAAACCCAGTACTTTTCCCAATACTACTTGATGTCCATCCAGTGAAGCACAAAACGCAATCATCCCAGTCCCCCCCAAATTTTTGGGAGAAGGAACGAAGAGTCAAGTCAAAATAAAGGTCGGGAAACCCCCTAATCCGTAATTCAATCTTCAGCGTCAGCAGAAAGTGTGCCTCCGCTCCCTTCATCGTTGTATACCTCTGAGCCCGATGAAGAAAGGAAGTGATGACTGCCAATTTTTGTTGCCTACTAGAATAGGTGCAGAAATCCTGTAGATTCTGAAAGACCAATCTTCCCTTTTGTACCGCCCCCTGATTTTTATGAGTAGCAATACAAACCACACCATCTACCTGGTCCTACACAGTGATTACACAGCCCAGGAAATCCCAGGTACTTCCTTTGTCCGTCCGCTCGAGCGTCAAGTTCTCATTGTAACAGCCTCTAAATTTCCGAATTACTTGCTCCGCCTCCTCAGGTCCCACGCTCTTTTTGTACCGAACAAAAATTGATACATCATCAACAATTTGGGTTCCATAAGTGCGAATGCGCAAACTGCCCAGAGAGTTGAGAAACAAAAATTCAGAATGAGTATTGGCCTCAGCAGATTTGTACCGGGTTGATATGTAGGGGTGTGTTCCCGGGCCCCTGGTTGTCTCACTGGAATGGAAAATGTTATGTTTCTCCAAAAAAAAAAAAAAAAAAAAAAGATTCCTTTTTTTTTATACAAAAATTTTTTTTTTTTTTTTTTTTGGTTGAGAAAGAAGTTCAAAGAACACATATCAGTTCTGTTTTTTTTTTGGAAAACCTTTCAGTTTCCCGGGCCTCGACCCACTAGCATTGCTTTACGCTTGTGCTGCTCCTCCGTTTTCTATCACGTGCGGCTGTCCGTGACATCCGTCAGTTGTTGATCCAGTAGCGTAGTGTCTATTGTCTTTGTTTTGGTGGAGGCAGCTGCCCATCGGCCAGTATATTTTTTTTTAATTCATTTGTTGGCCATTTAGTTGGCCACTTTGCATTGGCGCAAAGCTTCAATATTATGGTTTTTTTTTTGGGGGGGGGGGGGTTTTTGAAGCTTCGTGCCTTGCTATTTTTTTTTTGTAGAAATTGAGAATATTGAGATTTCTGTGGAAGACTGCGAACAGGTCATGCAGATGTACCGGGTTGGTGGAAGTGTGGATGCATAGGGTGTACTGTCATGATGTCTATGCCAGGGACCTTGTCCCACTTGCACCGTTTAGTCGAGGCAGCTCAACGGTGCGACAGTTAAAAAAAATCATTCTTATTCAATTTCAAATGAGAAATTCATTTATAAATGGCACGAATACAATTGTTCTGGTTTTTCTTTCTTTCACAATTGCTGGCCTAGAAATTCATAAAAGGCACAGAAGTTGCATTCAGGAGGTCGTGGGTTCAATTCCCATTGGCCTCACGTACGTGCCTGGGCAAGCTTGGTGTTCTACCAGCTAGAGATAACCGGTTGGCCCCCCAAGCCAGCATTGGCAGGACCTTGGTTGATGTTGTTGGTTGCTATGCAGCTACAATATTGGCCATTAGACACCGCCAGGTGGGGTTTGGGGGATGGGTAGGGGGAGGTGCAGTGACTGGCCATTGCTCAGCGCTAGCACCGCCGATTTCCCCCATCGGCAATGCCTGCCCACCCCTCGTCACCGTGATGAGGGACTGGTACAGCCTTGCTCTCGCACCACTGCTGTGGTGCCAACCTATCCCGTGGGCTGGGGAGAGATCCGGGTTGGTTGGTGTTCCCCCCTACTACACATACACTAGTGAGAGGATGAGATAGATGAGTACTAGCAAGAAAAATGAGATAGATAAGAGAAGAATATAGTACCTTTGCCGCGTGGGAAAATAGCGGGCCTCGGGTAGGCGTCCGACCTTTTCAGAGGCCGAAACGAAACTACGGCCACCGATCAGATTTATCAATGGCAGTCGTCGTCGGGCCCGACCTCCGAATATTCAGGAGTTTGGGAAAATAGCCAGTTTTCCTTATTTTCCCACGCGGGGAAAAACAAAAACAAAAACAATTGGGGTGGCATACGGGCACTTCCATTCCACAGCAGAAAATCAAGAGTGAGTTGCCAGAATCCCTTTTGTACAAAAATGGCAAACGGAAGGAGGCTCGTTCAGTTTCTCTAAAAAAACGCCCTTTGGGGGAACGAGAGGGTCGTTGAGCTAGCTGTCTCGAAAAAAGGAGACAGGTAGCTCAACGGAAAGTGGTGAGGGTAGGGGGAGTAGAACGTATATTCTTCTGCTTTTTGTTGTAAGAAAAAGCAAAGATAGTCTCTATTGCCTTTTTTATTAAAAACGGACCGCTAGATGACTTGGATGACGTGCATCTCCGTTGTCGGACACACAGTTTTAAACGATGCTTGTGGGTCGAGGCCCCCGAGGCAGCAATACCAGTTCTTTTTTTTTTTTCTTTTTTTTTCTCTCTTTAGATTCGAATACCACTTAGGGAGGTGGTAAGAGCAGACTCCCTAAGAGGCTCCCAAGTGGAAGGCTCCATCTATTGGTGGGGAGCTGCACCTGGTCTGGAAACGAGCTCCAGCTTCCCTCATATTACAAGACTTGGGGCCTCGTTAGACACTCCTTGTGGACCCGAAATCCACAAGGAAGTGCTCGTTCCACCTGTCCTTGGGGAAGATTCATGAAAAAAAAAGTGAAAACAGCACAAGGAAATTTCCTTGTGGCGTCCTTGTGGCTACAGCCAATTTTTCCTAATCCCCAAGGGACCTCCCGAGGTCCCTCGGAGCACAAGGAAGCGCAGAATTCGGAGCGGCGAAGGCATGTGTCACGGTCGACGCACAGTTTCAGTTTGAGGGTGGTCCAGACGTGGTCCACCAAACGGGAGCACGGACATCCCTGCCCTCCACCATCTGGCTGCCACCCCAACGGCTCCAAACGGTCAACGTCCGCGTGAGGCCTCCGTCCGTCGAATCGGGCGTCGCCGACCGGTGTCATGCGGTCTGCTGCGCTGGGCGATTGTCGACAACGGTCGGAAATTTGAATGCTTGTACGTGCCGGCGCTGCGTTCGGCGGCGACAGTTTTATTTTGGAAGATCGTCGTTTTCGTCGGTTGTCGTCATGCCTTGCATGTCGGAGCACAGATCTTCCCTCACTTTTTCTTCTGTCGATGGAGTTCTTCGTTGGACGGTCGACCATTGACGTGGAGCTGCTGCCCTTTCCATGGCCCTTACATGGCCGACCTGCTGCACAGACTGCCTCTGCTACTCCTCGCCGTCGTGCTGCTTCTCATCGTTGTCTTCTTCCACGTGTGTTTCGTCGGCCTGCTCCCTGTCGCAGCTCGCAAAAGGAGATCTTCCAAGAACGGCGACAGAATGGATTGACGACTGACCAACGGCAGACCGGCAGCTCCCTGTCCTGCGCTTCATCCACCACCTCGGCGTTGCTCGAGGAAGTACTCCACAACCCAACGCGTAGCACAGCTGAACAACAGCCGCCGAGGTCGCCACGCAGTCGGGGCCATCGTCTGGAGCTTGCATCAATGTCCTCCGTCTACGCGCGCGCAACTGCTCCTTCCTGCTGACATCGAAGAACAACGGTAGACACAGCCGCCGCCACGGCCTGCAGCTCAAGAGGTGTCAACACCGCATGTCCACCCTCTCTGCCGCCCTGCATAGCCGCGACCTCGACACGGACCCATCGCTCCACTGCCGTGTGTGTCGTCCTTCCACACCCAACGAAGAAGCCGAAGACGTTCGTCGAAAGCTGCCCCCTTTTCTCTGGATGCAGTCCCGCAGATGGAAATGTGTTTCAAGGCACGGTCGACGTGTGCGAAGGTCGACGGCGATGGACGCACCCGACGATGCCTGCGCACTCGCAATGGCCGGGGGACGAAAGTGACGCGGCCGCTGAGCTCGTTTCAGTAGTACGCCGTCTTCACGCCGCCAGCCGCACGTCGTCGCCGTCATCGCAGCCGTCAAATTCGAATTTCAAACGTCGACGTCCCCCGGGTTAAATTTTTTTCCCGTCGCCCGCCTCATGCTGTTTCCCCCCACACGTCGCTGGACCACGCTGCCTCCACACGGACAAAAGACGGTGAACCAAGGACCACCGACCCGCGGCCACTAATTTCCGTATGAAAATGGCCGCGGGCATGCCACAAGGAAACATCCTCCGGGCAGGTCCCCAAGGATGAGTGGAAAGACACCACAAATTTCCCTAAAGAGCCACAAGGAAATTTCCTTGTGGCTCAAGGAACTCGTAAGGAGTGTCTAACGAGGCCCTTTGCTGGACCCCCATTTCACAAGACATATCAATGACTGACAAATATTTGGACAAACTGATATATGTTGGCAGAGTTCTCCGTCCTTCCTGTTGCCTGTCCCCCCAAGGCGTGGTGAGGGCAGGTGTACCCGGCTTGAGCTGGCAGGGCTGTTTGGGGCCTTTTGGGCCCAATACCAGTTCTTGTCTTTGAAGAAGACTCTCACCCCCCATGCTATCTTATTAATAGTGACCCGAACAAAAGCCGGAAAGCGAGAGGGCCCAACTAGTCTGCCCCCTGGTAAATGGAAAAAAAGAGAGAAGGAAAAAGATAAAACAAAGAGGAGGCGAAGATTATGCAGATTCTTTACACGTGTCAATTGTGGAGCGAGTTCTATCTTCCGGACTGACGTCAGCGCGTCAGGTGTGAAATCGCAATACAGCCTGGTTGAGTGCCAATCAAAACAACTGTTACATGCAAATATTAAATGTTTCCCAAACAAAAAAAAAGAAAAAAAAAGGAAGAAGTGAATGGACTTGTTCCTTCTTCCTCTACTTCCCCCCCTCTTCTTTTTTCTTTTTTTTTTTTCCCATTTGTTCCTTCTTGGGTTGCAAGGATGATACGCAAGAAGGAACAAGTGCCCAAAAAAAAAAAAGGAAAAAAAGGGGGGGATAGAAGAAGAAGGAAAGAAACGAGTGCGTACGCAGCGTGCAGAGAAAACGTTTTTTTTTTTGAATGAAAAAAGGGAAAAAGAGAGAAGACAAGGAGACGAGGAGATCAAATTAGGAGGGCTGTTTCTTGAAAAAAAAAAAACAAAAAAAAAAAAGGAAACATTAGGAGAGAGCAGAGAAGTGGGGGCGGCTTGTGGGCGGGATCCGGACATGGCCACTATACCTTACGTAACCGACCGGGGGCTCTGTCCCCGGGGCCTTGATATGGAGTAGTTGAGGGGTTGTCTCGCTCCCCTATACTCGGGGGGGCGGCCTGCGGCGTTTAGGTCTCCACCTGTTTGGTCGATGACACTTGATTGCTAGAGTGCAAATTGCTGATTGCAACACCATTGAGGACGACTTGTCCGGCTTCTGGGTGACCAGGTGCAGCCTGGAGTGGCCTTTGGCGAGATTTTGACGATTCATGGGCGCTTTGAAGATATGATCCTGCTTGCTATGATGGCGCTGACGATTGCTTCAGCTTTGCACATTCGTGTGTTTTCGCTTGTGTTAGGGCTTGGTATTCCCTGTAGGAGCTTTCTTTTAGCTTTTCTTTTTTTTTCCTTTTTTTTTTTTTTTGATTGCTCAGTGACGTTTAGTTCGGATGGTTGAGGAGTGTTTTGTTTGCATTTTTGTCTTGCTTTATTAGTGTTTCATTTGTTGTGGGTTAGGTGCTTAATTTGTTTCGTGTTTTTAGGTTAGGGTTAGGGTATTATGTGAGATCTGAGTAGATATTCAGTATTCTGAGTAGTCAGCATCAATCTGTAGCTTAATATTACCCAATCATCCTGAAACGTTCCTGAATCATCCCAAATTTTCATTGATCATCAATGTATTCCAATTATAAGGGACGCTGGGCCCGGTTTGCAATTGTTCTAAATAATAATAATAAATAATAATAAATAATAATAATAAATAATAATAAATAATAATAATAATAAATAATAATAATAATAAATAATAATAATAATAATAAATGCTTGTATTGCTTCGTCATTTGGAATTCCTTTTGTCGCACTGTTGGTTTCTCAAGCTGTCGCCCAATCTTTTTTTTTTTTTTTTTTTCTTGAAAACAATATCCCCCTGTCGCCCAATCTTTTTTTTTTCTCGAAAACAATAAATAAATGGACGCATTAAGAAATTTATAAGAACGTGTCTTCGGTGAACAGAACCAGATGCGAAGATAACACAGATAAGAAATGACTGTTTGGATTAAAAAAATATATATATATAATTTTGACACGTGGCTTCGTTTCGCTGCGCTGACTTATCCATCTCTAACGTCTTCACCCCAATAGAACACCCAGTCATTGTAGCTGTATTTGGGGAAACTTTCAGTCTAAATACAGGGATAATTAGCGGGCCTTCTATTCGGGGGCTAGGTCCCACTTGCACCAATTAAGAGATACTGACCGTAGATAGGATAGCAAAGATCAACGACCGAAATCTCCTAATCCGTGCAAGTGGGACCTTGCCCCCGGTATCGCCCACCTGCACGTGGGGAGCAGCCGCCGCATTGTTCTGTCGTGAAAACGTTTCTGGCTGCCGCGGGGTTCCCGTAGAGCTATAATTACGAGTAGTGGTAGGTAGGTAGGTAGTGGGAGGTGAAGCTGAGAGAAGAATGTAGCTGGGGTAAAAAAAAAAAAAAAAAAAAAAAAAAAAAA